TGGTTGCAGCCGTCATTGTTGTTTGGCGGGTCTGGGCTGGGGATTCGAACCTGCCACCTTAGGTGTATGTGGCTGGCGCCTCAGCAGGTTGAGCCACAGGCGCTGAGCCTACTTTTCTTTTCTATAGATAAATACACCCCAGTTTTTTTTTTTACATGACTTCCAGGACATTGCACTATTTTTCAGCTTCATCAAGGAATTCTCAATATCCTTTTCCAATCTTTGTCAGTATCTCCTAATATTTTTCAATCTCCTTCCTTGTTCTTTTTTCAAATATGATAAATACAAGAAATTCCAATAAAATAATTGGTTTTTCTTGGATACCCATTTCAGCATAATAAATACTAGATATACGTATTTCTGCTTATAAATGAATTCTTGCATGATGTTGCTCTTACTATCTCCATCTAAGTCTAAAGACGATAAAAACACCTAAAACTCAAGAAGAGTCAGGACAGAAGTACAATTATTCTCATCCCCAAATTACTGTACTTTGTAGGGACTCCTAAATTATCCATTGGTTATGTAGTAATATCCATACTCACCTAACTGGCTGGTTGTCTGGGCCCACATCTTTAAAGCCCATTTTCTGCAGTTTGCAACACCTATAACATTCATAGTGCTGAATGTGGGTTTGCTCTTTCAGGTTTTCCATATTGGTGCAAAGAAGCATATCCCGGAGCTTAACAAAGTCACAGTGATTTTCATTTTCCACTAGCAAGAAAGATAATAATTCCACAACACTCATTTTCAATTCCTAGGAATTAGTAAATATTTGTGAATGAATGTATTAATGCAAAGCACATTTACAATAACACAGAAGCAATCAATTTGATTAAAACCTATACATTTTTTAGCCATGGAAGCATGGTTATACTATACATATCAATTATAGGCAGAATTTATTTAGAGGTCATCAATTGTCCTTTAACTTTATTACCTACAGAATAAACAATAAATAGTGAAATAACATTTTATATGCATATGTTATAGATTTTAATTAATAATTGTATATGTTACAAACTACCCTCAAGTTATTTCAGAGTGCTAAGAGGATATATAATATAACATTGCTAATATAGATAATTTTATTTAAGGAAATTCTGTTGACAAAAAGTCTTTAAAGTTGTGTATACTTTAGTTATCGAATTCCATTTATACATCACATTTACAAGGCTGCATTAGTAAATATTCAAAATCAATAAATTCATGTGTCTATTTTAATGATATGCAGCGACTGAAAGTACAAAGATCGAAGGATATTTCATGTAAATGATAATCAAAAGGGAGTAAGTATAGCTATATTTCTATCAGACGAGATAGATTTTAAATTTAAGACTGTAAAACAAGATAAAGAAGGTCATCATATAATGATAAAGGATGCAATTCTAAAAATAATATAAACCTAAATATAAACAAATAAAAAACCTAAATATATAAATAAAATAAATATAAAACCTAAATATACCTAAATATATAAAACAAATGTTAATAGATCTTAAGGGAGAATTAGTCTGTAATACAGTAATAGTAGAGGACTTAGATACTTCACTTTGAGAAATGGACAGATCACCCAAATAGAAAATCAGTAAGAACATATCAGACTTAAAATACACTTTAGACCAATTAGACCAAACAGAAATATATGGGCTATTCTATCCAATAGGGACAGGCCAGAATTCATGTTTTTCTCAAGCAGACAACATTCTCCAGGATAGATTATATGTTAGGCCACAAAATAAGTCTTAATAAATTTAAGAAGATTGAAATAAAAAATGAGAGTGCAGCTTTCTTTTTGACTTGTCAGTTTGAATTTATTCTGAATCATATGGTAATTCTATTTTCAGTTTTTGAGGAACCTTTATACTATTTTCCAAATGGCTCTACTATTTTCCATTTCCACCAACAGTGTGTAAGGATATCCTTTTCTTCACATGCTTGCCAGCGCTTATTATCTAGCTTTTTGATAATAGCCATTCTAACAGGCACAAAGTGATATCTCATTGTAGATTTATAATTTACATTTCTCTGATAATTAGGAATTGTGTATACAAGGTCAGACATTTAAGTTCTTGAACTCATCATAGAAAAAGTGTTGCATACCTCATTGCTAAATATCACTATGATCACCTTTAAAGTATTCCCCTTGGGAAGCTATGCACTGATGCCAGCACCTAGAATTTGAAGAATTCCACTCTTCAAAGCAATTTTGGAATTCTTTTTCTGGAATAGCCATCAGTGATATCATTGTATGAGTTCTGATAAGTTCACTAACTCATCCCAGAAAAATTAATTCACAAAATTAATTCAAGAGGGATAACAGACATAAATGTAAAATATGGAATCGTAAGACTGCTAGAAGAAAATGCTGCAAAAACTATTGTAGATACTGGCCTAGGCAAAAAAATTATGAAGAAGACCCCAGTGGTAATTTACAGCAACAATGAAAATAAATAAATGGGACTTGATTAAATTAAGAAGCTTCTTCACAGTTAAAGAATTAATAAGCAAGAGCAAATAGATAATGTACAGAATTGGAGAAAATATTCACAAGCTGATAAAGGGGTAATAACTAGAATCTATAAGAACTCAAGCAAATCAGCAAGAAAAAAACAAACAATCCCATTAAAAAGTGGGCAAAAGAAGCTTTTCAAAAAAAGATAGATAAATGGCCAATAAACTTATGAAAAGTGTCCAACATCACTTATAATCAGGGAAATGCAAGTTGAAATCACAATGTGATATCATCTTACCCTGGTTAGAATGGCTTGTATTAAAAAGTGCGAAAGCAATAGATGCTGGCATAGATAACTGAGAGAAAGGAATGCTTATCTACTTTTGGTACAACTGCAAATTAGTAGAACCTCTGTGGAAAACAGCATGGAGATTCCTCAAAGAATTGAAAGTAGACCTAACATTTGATCCAGCTAACCCACTACTGGGGATTTCCACAAAGGAAAAGAAATAATTTTATCAAAAGATACCTGCACTCAAATGTTTATTGAAGCACAGTTCACAATTGCAAAGATGTGGAATCAACCCAAGTGCCCATCAATTAATTCACGACTGGATTAACAAATGTGGTATATGTGTTCTATAGAATATGACTCCACTGTGAAAAATGATGAATTGAGACCCTTGGTAACAATTCGGAGGGAAAGGGAGACCATTATCCTAAGTGAAATACCTCAAGAATAGGAAAATAAATACCACATATATTCTTAATAAACTGGAATTAATTGATGAGCACATATGTACACAGAGAGAAGTAAAATTCAGTGGAAATCAAGCAAAAGGGGTGAGGGAAACGGATGGGTAAAAACTTACCTAACAGGCCCAGTGAACACTATCTGCGTGATAGGCACACTTACAACCCAAAGCCAAGCATAACAAAATTAATACATGTAACCAAAATCATTTGTAGCCCCATAATATTTTGAAATAACAAAAAATTAAAAAATAATTATTTCATTAATTAAAAACAATACATCTGGCTCTAACCTGTGTTTATTTTGTTTAAAAGACTAACCACAATATATTGTTTACCTTGCATAATATGGTGACCCAATTTTGTATGCCTATAAGTAATATAAATATGTATTATATAATTATGTAAGACATATTAGCACATAACATATAATATGACATAATAAGTACTAAAATATGAAAAGTTTTATGAATCTTCCATGCATTTAAAATTTTCTGTGTCAATTTTTTATTATTTATTTATTTATTTATTTTTTAAGAAAGAGTCTCACTTTGTCACTCTCGGTAGAGCGCTGTGGCATCATAGCTTACAGCAACCTCAAACTCTTGGACTCAAGCAATTCTCTTGCCTCAGCCTCCCGAGTAGCTGGGACTACAGGAGCCTGCCACAGTCCCTGGCTGTTTTTTTTTTTTTTAAGGCAGAGTCTCATTCTAGGTCAAACCTACAAGCTTGGGTAATCCACTAACCTCAGCCTCCCAGAATGCTAGAATTACAGGTGTGAGCCACTGCGCCCAGTGTGTGTCAATTTTTAAAAACAACATTTGGAAACCAGGATAGGCAGAAACCTGTCATTCTCCAGTACTTAATACCACAAGTATATGAACAAGAGAATATATTACTGCCTATTATGATATTTGGCCTCATCAGTATGCCAAATAATAATGATATAATTTAGCCAAAGGTAAATTGTACTTCTTGGTTTTAAAATAGTTTCTCATTATTTTTCTAGTGACCAGTTAAAAATATTTTATAATTCAGATAGTAATAGTTTATACAACATGCTTAAACACCACTATTTATGCTTCAATTTTATTCAAAGTACTTTCCAGGATTCTGAATGTCATTGTTTATGCAGACAGAGGTAATGTGAACAAGGTACACTGGGATAAACTTGGCGGTTCCACCCAGCCTCTGGAAGATTTTGGCCCTAATAGGAATCCAACGAATTCCTATGAGTCAAAGTAAAATTCAGTCAATGAAACAAAACCTATGTTCCTCACTAGTAGCTTAATTTATAGATTAGGAAGATTTACCAATATTGGCTCAATGTAAAATGCTGCTTCGAGATTATGGATGATATACGTGTTATACCCCAAGGCCTGCCCCTTTCTTTATATTTACCTTGCAGAACTCCCCAAGGGTAGTGACGGCCTCTCACCACTCTTTTTCCAACTTTCACCTCATCCATACTCCCTACCACAGCAAAGGGTAACAGTCCCTAGAAAATAAGAATGAGAGAAATTGAATTCCTTCATGTCATTATAGCTTACTCTATTCCTCTTATTCCTATTACAAAAATAACAGAGGTGAAAATATTATAATAAACTTAATCAGGCAGGGATGTACCTTCCATCTGATTTTAAAACTTGGCAATAAGTATGTGCTAACTAATTTCTGTAAGCATTAGTCTCAGGCTGTGTGCACTATTGAAAACTATCTACTGAGACTAGCTTAATGCAAAGCATCCTGCTGTGGAGAATAGAAAGAAAAAAGATTCTTAGTGGACTATTGTTTTGCTCACATTATTTTTACCCTGAAATATCTTTGCCCTGACAATGTTGAATAAACAATATGTAAATTACTTTGAGCCTTAGTGTAAAAGTTAAAAGACAAAAGCATTAAAACTGAAACTATAGGCTCGGCGCCTATAGCTCAACCAGCTAAGGCG